TTTTTCTTTATAACATACTTTGTTTTCAGATTTTTTTTTTTTTTTTTTTTTTTTTTTTTGACTCGGAAGCGCATTTTTCAAATTGAAACCGTAACTGCGCCCTAGTTTTTTATATTATTATTATTATTATTATAAGGGTTGTATGGTCCAATGAATGGCGGGGCAAATATTGAACTGACTAGAACAGCAACGACACTTTTATCTTAGGGCCTCGCCACACCACTCTCGAAATGTGAAAAAGACAAAAATGTGGCGGGTGCATCTGGCCATGTTCTAGCGGGAAGTCCATTCTCATTTTGCACATTTCGAGAGTGGTGTGGCGAGGCCCTTAGCCACTTTGCCTCTTTCCCTCATTAAAGTTTTTTTGTTGACATCCCTTAAAAGGGTTGGAACGATACAGACACAGAAGATTAGCATGGCCCCTGAGCAAGCATGACAGACTTAAATTGAGAAATGACGGTCTATATCTTAGAAAAGAAAAGAGAAAAGTTGTTTTGCGAGCGGCGATTCCTATAAGCAAGTCGATTTATACATCCATACATCGAATAAAAATCGGTGAAACGAATGGGCACGCAACGTGTCGCCAGTGTCAGAGAAATGTTCTGGTCGACTTCTACGTACATTGAATAAAAATCGCTGAATCGAATGGGCACGCAAATGTCAGAGAAAGTGATCTGCAGGGCAGCAGATGCTTTTGTCACAGATGATCAAATTGTGATAAAAATACCAACGAGCTTATCTTTCGCTGGTACCCCCATAGACTGTTGAAATACATCTCAGCGCTTCTACATACACCCAGGTGATTTGTGAGGACTATCCGACCGATTTTTGACTTGTACAGTGGACATTAAGTGGAGCGAAGTAGCACATACATACATACATACATACGTATGTACACATATACATGCATACATATATCCATGCATGCATACATACATACATACACGCTCAACCCCGACCGTAGCTTATCAGGAACCGTCAATCCTCACGCCCCAAGAAATAGCCTGAGAAAGAAAAAGAAATCGGAGAAAACTCCTTTTGCAATAACAGACGTGAGGTTGCAATCACCCAACAAAGTCTGCAATAAAGTCTGCAAGAAAACCGTGGAGTTATTCTAAACGACGTGGTGCTGGTCACCCTCCTCAATGATGATAAATTAATTTCCTTTTTTCCTTGGCTTTTACCAAACAACACATCCAACTGTTTTATTTAAATTATTTTCAAGCAGTGCCACACGAACGAAGCCGGGGATCTCTCTCAATTCAACCGGGATACTGAGAACATTTCTCCGGCTTATAGCTTATCAGCACAACTCGCAGAACTCGCTGGTCACCTCATCGTTCGGACTTGTATCCTGTCTATTGCCTTTGTGATTATCTTGTTGTCTGTCTTTCCTAATAGATGAAAGACTCTGGGCCCGGTTCGCTGCACGTGTTGCTCCTCACGAATAGATTGGAGCTGTGTTCCAAAAAAAGAAAAAAAAAAGAAAAAAAAAAGAAAAAAAAAAGAAAAAAAAAAGGAGGTAAGTTAGCCTAATAGATGGTGTAATGTTTTGTCCTTCGGGACATCCGTTAAAATTGGAACGATACAGAGAAGATTAGCATGGCCCCTGCGGAAAAAAAAAAAAAGTCCAGTTGCACTACTTGCCCCAGGCTGACAACCCTGGAGCCTTCCTCAGCCATTGTGCAACGGGAACTGCCTGCTGTGACTGTAAATATAACACAGACTCTGAGGCCATCTTCTGAGATGGGATCAGGGTGAGCTGTGACCAGAGCATCTGCAGCTCCTTGCCGCAGGGAGGTTGCAGGTGAGGGAAGGACTGTTCCCGTTTCGCTGTGATCTCAGCAGTCCCCGTTGCGTGAGTGCCACTGAGTGGCGTCGCTGCCTCACTCCTTCGGTAGGGTTGTTCAGATTGCAGGTTGTTGTCTTCCCGTGTTTCCATCCCTACCCTACATTGATTGATCCATCCGGATCCGCAGATCTGGCATGGCTGTGCCCCCTGCAGTAAGCTGAGCTTGATTGTCACGAGGGTCCTCATGTACATGCACTTTGATTCCCCTGCATGGAACAGGTGCCCATGGCTCTGGTTCATTCCCCATCTTGAATCAGATCGGGGCAGCCTGAGCGCCGTCGTATGAACTTCTTCACAAGTTTGCTGCACTTACCTGGAACCTGAGAATCCCTCCCTACCAGGCATAGGAATTGCTCTTCCCTTTTTTTTTTTTTCTTTTTTTTCTTCAAAAATTTGGACCATTTCTCGATTTATGCGTGTCATCCTTGCGCAGGGGCCATACTAATCTTCTCTGTATCGTTCCAA